GTTTTCTTGTTTGAATTGTTTTACATTTGTCATTTTCAGGGCCTTTTACAGCTGACTATGCGGTATGGGCTTTGCTCATTGTTGAAGGCCGTACAGTGACCTATAACTGTTATTTTCTGTGTCATTTGGTCTCTTGTGGAGAGTTGTCTCATTGGCAATCATACCACATCTTCTTTTTTTTTACATGACTGAAGGTGCAGGGCTGAATAACCTCTTTGAAAATTGTAAATGCCAATACAACTGCAAACCAAATACCATTGACTTCTCATATGTAAGTTCCCTTTAAACTAACAAACACAAACTTTAACATCTAAACAATGCAAAAGTTTCCAAGTCAATAAACTATGGGTGGCAGGGCCATATAAGAGGGAATGCTATTACAATTGCATACTAAATATCATTGACTTAGTGTTGTTGGTTACTGTAAAGTCAGAAATTATTGCGAGGTTTTTATTATTGCGAAAAAGTTGTAAACCCAATAATTTAATCTCGCATTTTGAAATATTTTATATGAATTAAACAGGATTTTTCTCAAAATTGTAAAAATTAAAATCGCATTTAAGTCTAAACTAACAAAATCTCAATAATAAATGCACACAATAGTTTCTGAATTTACAGTAATCATAAACTGATCTAATCACAACTTCAAAATGTAAACTATGCAATTTAAAGGACTGAGGGGGCTGGGCCAAAAAAAAGCCATGGAAATGAGATGGATCACCTTGCAGACAATCACAAAACATGTAAATTCAGCTCAAGTTTCTAAGTCAATAGACCATGACTGAAGGGGCAGGGCCAAATAATCTTGATGAACTTGATATGTGCCAATGCTAATACAACTGCATATCAAATACCACTGACCTACCAATTGTGGTTCTACTTGAATTGACTTATTAGCAAACTTATACATGTAATCTAAGCATAGATGTTTCATGTGTTGGCTCTCCAATGATTGGGAATCATTCATGTTTTTTTTTTGACATATGGAATAATTCGGAATAGCATTTTATATAATACGTAAACTATTGTTGAAATCATACCACAAAAATAGTCTCAATTGTTGTGAAATGTTCCAAAGGTACCGTCCTGAAATGAATTACCCTTTATATGTGGACTAACAAATTATTTGGGGTCTTCCATGTATTGATTTACCATATCTAAGTTTACTTCCTAGCAAGGTTCTATGTGCGAAAACACTGCTTCTGCACTGCTTTTAGTTTGTTTTTCGTATATGTGACCTTGAACTTAAGACATCATATTTGATAGGATCTTTCTCATTAAATAACATATATCCAAATTTAGGTGAGGCCTTGGTGGCGTTGTTGTCGGAGTAGTTAAAACTACTGTATCACTAGCCTTTCAACGCAGAGGTTGTAAGTTCGAACCCTGCATGTGGCAAGTGCACTTGACTCATCTTAATGGACTATAATTGTCAGTTTTCCTGTCGAAGGTTGTGGTTCTCTAACGTACTACCACTAGCCAATGAATCCAAATACAGATTAAATTGCAGCATAATTCCTTGAAGTTCCCCAAAAAACCTTTCACTTCCATTTTTGATCTGCGGCTTTCGACATTTTAACCTCAAACTAGATCAACATACCCTTAATTAATATTCAGACTCCAGCCAACCAGTCTATAAAATAAGATGTGGTATGATTGCTGATGAGACAACTAGTCTATAGGTGCTCCAAAGTTCAAATGAGGCTAATTATAAGCAGCTAAATGTTGCTGTACAGCCTTCAACAATGAGCAAAATCAATACTGTATACCAGGAAGTTTTCTATATAATCCCTAGGACAAAACAAGAGGAGATGATTCAAACAAGAACAAGAAATGATTGTAACAGGATGCTGTTACGAAGTCTCCCAAACGAAGCTCCCATAATTCGTAATTCCCATGGTCGCCTGAAATTGGGCAAAGTCCAATGAAAATTGGTTTGGTCCAGTAAAGTTATATGCATTAGTGATGCCTGGGGACTAACCCTGTATATCATTCAAATCATCTTGGCATGACAAACCAGAATATATATGGTTTAGGGGTGGGGATCTCGACCATTTACAAGATATTAGAACTTTCTCAAATGGCAGGGGGTCGGGATGACCCCTGGGGACTAACCCTGTATATCATTCAAACCATCTTAGCATGACAAACCAGAATATATATGGTTTAGGGGTGGGGATCTTGACCACTTACAAGATATTAGAACTTTCTTAAATAGCATGGGGTGGGGGTAACCCCTGGGGACTAACCCTGTATAACATTTGATGTGCTTTATCAATTATCATGACAAACCAGAATATATATGATTTAGGGGTGGGGATTTTGACCACTTACAAGATATTAGAACTTTCTTAAATGGCAGGGGGTGGGGGTGACCCCTGGAGACTAACCCTGTATTTCATTTGATGTGCTTTATCATGACAAACCAGAATATTTATGGTTTAGGGGTGGGGATCTCGACCATTTACAAGATATTAGAACTTTCTCAAATGGCAGGGGGTCGGGATGACCCCTGGGGACTAACCCTGTATATCATTCAAACCATCTTAGCATGACAAACCAGAATATATATGGTTTAGGGGTGGGGATCTTGACCACTTACAAGATATTAGAACTTTCTTAAATGGCATGGGGTGGGGGTGACCCCTGGGGACTAATCCTGTATTACATTTGATGTGCTTTATCATGACAAACCAGAATATATATGATTTAGGGGTTGGGATCTTGACCACTTACAAGATATTAGAACTTTCTTAAATGGAAGGGGGTCGGGATGACCCCTGGGAACTAACCCTGTATATCATTCAAACCATCTTCGCATGACAAACCAGAATATATATGGTTTAGGGGTGGGGATCTTGATCACTTACAAGATATTAGAACTTTCTCAAATGGCAGGGGGTCGGGATGACCCCTGGGGACTAACCCTGTATATCATTCAAACCATCTTAGCATGACAAACCAGAATATATATGGTTTAGGGGTGGGGATCTTGACCACTTACAAGATATTAGAACTTTTTAAAATGGCATGGGTTGGGGGTGACCCCTGGAGACTAACCCTGTATTACATTTGATGTGCTTTATCATGACAAACCAGAATATATATGGTTTAGGGGTGGGGATCTCGACCATTTACAAGATATTAGAACTTTCTCAAATGGCAGGGGGTCGGGATGACCCCTGGGGACCAACCCTGTATATCATTCAAACCATCTTAGCATGACAAACCAAAATATATATGGTTTAGGGGTGGGGATCTTGACCACTTACAAGATATTAGAACTTTTTTAAATGGCAGGGGGTGGGGGTGACCCCTGGGGACTAACCCTGTATTTCATTTAATGGGCTTTATCATTTAGAACATTTTCAATTAAAAAGATTGTGTCTATCACAAACGGTTTTCAATTAATAATCATTTGAAAATTTTTAAAAATAAAATCCCATAGGGTTCTATAGTAAAACCCTCTTTTCTTTTTGCCCCTCAAAGTACCCCTTTATAAACCCCATTGCACAAACAAAACCCTGATTGCACCACTAGACATGTTAGTCTAACATATTGTGAAACCCTAAGTTAATCTGACAAACGCTTTTGGAGAATGGGTGTGGACAAGTTTAAATTTAAAAGCGGCGGAAGAAGAAGAAGAAGAAGAAGAAGAAGAAGAAGAACTGAGCAAAAACAATAAGTCTTCCCAAACTTCGTTTGGGAGACTTAATTAACAGACTAATTTGTAACCAAATAATTTATGAAAAACAAATATGACAGACAAGTACTTCTTCTAAATGGATTGTGTCCTTGGCATTGAAGCTGCAAATACCAGTTTTTATGTCTGACCTAGCCTCAAGGACATAGTCGGTCATCAAAATTGACGAATTATGCTAGGGTCAAGATATTTGTAACAAACTCATACCTTTGAAGAGGAACTAAATAAGGACCTTTCAATTTTTCAACAAACAGAAACATTTCTATGTAATTGTTCTTTAATAAAAAGAGAGACAAACATATGGTAACATAGAAAAACATGCACCCTGCATTAAAAAACCCTATAGGGAAAAAGCATGGGTGTGTAATTGTAACAGATATTTCAAGAGTACAATTGTCATGAACAAACAGGGTTGTTAGTGGAAGAACTATATATTACATTGAGACTACCACATGTAAAATTGTCATGAACAAACAGGGTTATTATCAACAGTGTGAAAGTTCAATTAAATCAATTTCATGGACAGGGTTTTTCATTTTGTTAGATAAATCTTTGTAAAACAGGCAAAATTTTGTAGCATATAAAATGCAGATATATCTATAGAGGTAAATTTCTATTTTGTATTCGACAGAGCTGATGAAATACTAAACATTTTGAGTTTAATAAAACTTGATCAAAAACACCTTCAAATATTGGAGATTAATCTTGTTACACAGAAATTAGTATCTTAATAATTCTGTGACACTTAATTAAAATCGATCAATCAATCATTAATCCCAATAAGAAACCTTAACCTATAACTACTTATTAAAAGGGTGGGGGTGGGGTGGGGTGGGCGATGAAAGGAGGGGTGAATCAAACTTAAAATAAGGGTGTTGACCAAGCTGTCACCATTATTCTGTAGTCATTATATTTGGGACACGAAATTGGGCTTGGGGCAAATAATATCAGATGCATGTTTGTAGATGATGACTTGTAAATAAAATTTGAAATCCCCATGCCAAACCAAACCCCTTAATGCATTATCTAGACCTCTGTTTACAAGCTTTTTTTTTTATAGAGCTCTAAAGAATACTTTCATCTTACTTTATATACATCTGATATAACTTATCTAACTTACATTGATACATAAAAAAATGATAACTTATATATTCTTAATTGTTGACCTTCCGTGCAGTGACAGAATTTACAAGTATGAAGAGAAAAGCAGGGGTAATCCCTCCCCTTACGCCTCAATCTCAGCCTGCTAGTCTCTCCATTCACCAATAAATGTTAGTCAAGAAGGCAACTAAAGCAATTCTGTAAAAAATAACAAAACATTTTATACACAAAAAATATCAGATGCATAAAAAAAAAAAAAAAATCATTGTAAATATACCGAAAATATTTAACCCACATTTCATACCACCCAGTTATTATCTAGAACTCTTACAATTCTTCTTTTTTTTTTTTCTTTTTCTTTTTTTTTTTCTTTTTTTTTTTTTTTACAGAGCTCCAAATAACAACTCTCTTCAAATCGTATACATCTGATATGAACAACATTTGTACAAAACCTTTACCAAAGGAACTAACCAGTATGAAAAGATAAGCAGGGGTATTCCCTCCCCTTATACCCATTTCTCAGCCTGCCAGTCTTCCCATTCATCACAACTGGTGTTCCTGATAATTTACAGAACACTATAAAAAAGAGTGTTGTACATCTAGATTGGACATAGTGTGATGATAACTATAAAGATAATATACACTTGCAGTGCATCCTTAATTTTGTACTATGCTGAATACTTGTAGTTAATCTTCATCTAATCAATCAAATGTAAATAAATACAATTTGAAATTCATAGAATAGCTTCTGTTTTCCCTGTTTGTCCTTCATTCACACAAAAAGAATTTAATAATTTTAATGAAATAATGCAAAACTCTGTCTCAAATAAATGTTTAAACATTTTCCATCCTCATTCTAATGATAATACTTCTTTATAAATAGTAATCATAAATGTATTCAAGATTGCATAATGAAACTGTACAAAATACCACAAATTATTTTTTTTACATTTTTTTTGTGATTCCTCACAGATTTATTCTAATGTAACCAAAACATCTTCGAAAAAAGAGATTTAAACCAATGGCAGCTGCCTGATTGTTTTCACTGGTCACACTAAAGTCCTCTACTTCAACTACTTCATGTATTAACTATGACCATTTAAGGGAGAACTGTAGGCCTCTGAAATTCTAATGTAATCGACATGTCTGGTTAAAAAGCATAAATGTTTACAACTGACTCTCTCCTATCCTTCCTCTCTCTCTCTCTCTCTCTATTGTTTTTTACAAGAATACTAATACACTTTATTGTTTGTCAATAATTGTTTCCAAGTTCATCCACATGGCAAAGTCTCTTCTTCTGTATCAGTTGATTTGTAATTTCTCAAGCTCAGTTAATCTACAAAGAAACAACAAAATGTCAATTAAAACATGGCAATTAAATTGACAAAATAACATATTTAATTCTTGATATGTCAGAAGTGATTCATACCATATATACATATAGGATTGATTGATTGATTGTTGCATGCTTAATGTCCAGTGATCAATATATCATGCATATTTTGAACATGCTTAAGGTGGTATGGTTGTCTTTTGCCATCTTGGATTGTAAAAAACAGAGAATCTAAGGTCCAGATTTTCAATCAAGTTAGCAAAATTAGATGCAGAAATGTAGATAACTTATGTGAATTTGCATTTCAAAGAACATTTTTATAAGATTATAACTCATAAATATTAATATTTTTACAAGATTATTTCTGCTTGAATTTTAATAATTTCAAATTGGCATTTTAAGTGAAGTAACTCTGAAATAGTGCATTTTCTGAAGGAATCTACTTGGAATTTTGCTATTTTGAATTTTAGACAGATAAAACGCACTGTGACCCTATCTTTTCTTTTGATATTCTCAAAGCATTTTCTAAAAGCCAACTTTTCGTATTCTATTTTACAATTCTATCATTTAGTTTAGATTCTAATCACATAATGATGTTTTTTCCTGTATAATCCATACACAATATGTCATTTTGTAACAACCTGTAGCTTGAACAAATGTGCTGTGACCATACGTTTTGATAATATTTTTTAACATATTTTAATATTTACTACGCTTTAGCAAAGTATGAACAAATTCTATCATTTTTAATTTAGACTCTCCCATACCACCTTAAAGGAAAGTTACCATGCCATTATAAATTTTGCATCACATTTATATATAAAGCATTAAACATAACATATAACTGAGAAACGAGAGTATTTAAACTTGCTAGTATCAATGTTTCTTATCAAAATTTCAAACTTTCAAATATTTTGGTCAAGACTGTGTGGCTCAGGGCTTTGCTCATTGTTGAAGGCTGTACGGTGACCTATAGTTGTTAATTTCTGTGTCATTTTGGTCTCTTGTGGAGAGTTGTCTCATTGGCAATCATACCACATCTTCTCTCTTTTTTTTATATTAACAGTATTATGGATAACTAGAGGCTCTAAAGAGCCTGTGTCGCTCACCTTGGTATATGTGCATATTAAACAAAGGACACAGATGGATTCTGACATGACAAAATTGTGTTTTGGTGATGGTGATGTGTTTGTAGATCTTACTTTACTGAACATTCTTGCTGCTTACAATTATCTCTATCTATAATGAACTTGGCCCAGTAGTTACAGTGGAAAATTATTTTGTAAAAAATTACAAAAAATTTACAAAATTTATGAAAATTGTAAAAAATTGACTATAAAGGGCAATAACTCCTTAAGGGGTCAATTGACAATTTTGGTCATGTTGACTTATTTGTAGATCTTACTTTGCTGTACATTATTGCTGTTTACAGTTTATCTATAATAATATTCAAGATAATAACCAAAAGCTGCAAAATTTTCTTAAAATTACCAATTCAGGGGCAGCAACCCAACAACGTGTTGCCTGATTGGTCTGAAAATTTCAGGGCAGATAGATCTTGACCTAATGAACAGTTTTGATCCTGTCAGATTTGCTCTAAATGCTTTGGTTTCAGAGATATGAGCCAAAAACTGCATTTTACCCTATGTACTATTTTTTAGCCATGTCGGCTATCTTGGTTCACGAGCGGAGTCATCGGACACATTTTTAAAACTAAATACCATAATGATGATTGTGGACAAGTTTGGTTAAATTTGTCTTAGTAGTTTCAGAGGAGAGGATTTTTGTAAAAGATTACAAAAATTTACGAAAAATGGTTAAAAATTGACTATAAAGGGCAATAACTCCTTAAGGGGTCAACTGACCATTTTGGTCAAGTTAACGTAATTGTAGATCTTACTTTGCTGAACATTATTGCTGTTTACAGTTTATCTCTATCTATAATAATATTCAAGATAATAACCAAAAACGGCAAAATTTCCTTAAAATTACCAATTTAGGGGCAGCAACCCAACAACGGATTGTCAGATTCATCTGAAAATTTCAGGGCAGATAGATCTTGACCTGATAAACAATTTTACCACGTCAGATTTGCTCTAAATGCTTTGGTTTCAGAGATATGAGCCAAAATCTACATTTTACCCCTATGTTCTATTTTTAGCCATGGCGGCCATCTTGGTTGGTTGGCCGGGTCACCGGACACATTTTTTAAAACTAGATACCCCAATGATGATTGTGGCCAAGTTTGGTTTAATTTGTCCAAGAAGTTTCAGAGGAGAAGATTTTTGTAAAAGTTAACGACGATGGACGACGAAGACAGACGACGGACACCAAGTGATGAGAAAAACTCACTTGGCCCTTTGGGCCAGGTGAGCTAAAAAAGGTATGATGATAATCAAGTTTCCATTGTATAATTGCAGGAGCAATATTTCATAACCATTTTGTTTTTACTATAAACTTACCTTGAAGTTGGTAATATAGTACTTCCAGGTCCTACTGTCCTAAGATCTTTAAATAGATCACATACAATTCTTATTTCCTGGATATCTGAAGAAGAAAAAATCATGTACAGTCATATCCTTAAGGATGTACTTAGGTGAGGTTTTGGAATTTGTGTTAAATGTTCGGACTCCTTGGCGTTTTTGATACGATACAAGGTAAAATATTTTGCCCCATAACACCCATTTATTTTTTCATATAAGACTTAATAGCTCATAAAAGGTCATTTAACAAAATTTAAGCAGATTCTTGATTTTTTTTCTTTTGATTTGAGACCCAAATTATACCAATGCAAATATAAGGTAAAAGTCTGAGCCAGCCTTTTCCTGCCATATTTTATATATCAAATATCTCAAAAAGGAGCTGCATGACCTATCAATATTTTTAGTTTATTTTGATCCTTAACTAATACTCTTTCAGCTTAAAGTATCAATTTTAAATGCTTGATTTATTAATTTTTACCTTATATCACCTAAGTACATCCTTAAAAATGCTTATATGGAATTTTAATTACAAGTCAAAGTAGGACAATTTTCCACTAAGTACTTTACTGGGCTGTGCAAACTTAAAGTACTGTTTCAGATTTTTATTTCTTTTAAGGTTATGCATGATTTTAATGTTACAAGTCAATTTTTGACTTGTAATGAGTAGTTTTTCACAACAGTCGCTACCAGTGGAGTCAAAGCTGCTTATCCTTTATTTTCTATTCAGAGCAAGTAAGTGTATATATCCTTCATTGTGGTGGGGTTTGTATTACAAAATCTATTTTCTAAATGAATTTTTTTTTATTGCTCCAATGCAAAAACTACCGGTGCAAAAAAATTTGGTTGTACACTTTATCAGAATATACTAATGAAGACCTTTGGCTTTATGCATTTATCTTGATAGCTTTTCTGAAAACACAGTGAATTAACACACCAAAAATAAAATAAGAGCTATAAGGTTAATTGCAACATGTAATCAGAGTAATGTTGCCATGTTTTTTTTTAGTATAATTACCTTGTCTTTTGTATGTAACAGCTTCAGACTCAGTTGTGATGTGCCTTTCTGTGAGATTTATCAGTTTATAGTCCACTAGTACTGTCCATCCACATGAATACTGGTCACATCAAAATAAATGTCAATAATTCACTTGCTGGTTCCAAGGCCGTTGTAAATAATTCACTTGCTGGTTTCAATTTTGAATTTTAAGTCTATTAACTTCAGTCAGTTCCATGTTTGAATATTTCATTGTCCACTATTCTAACTGGTCGCATATATCATCATACAATAAGTCCATTAAGTCAAGACATTAAAAAACTGGTTATTATTAGAATATTTCATTATCACTATAGTTGTTACCAATTTGATTCCACACATCTTCTATCCTTGTGCCATTACTGGTATTTTTTTTTTAAATAGGCAAAAAATTCAAAAGTGCCTATTTAAAGTAATTTTTTCAGAAAATTTAGCTTTTTCAATGTTTATTTAAAAAAGTTTAATTACCAAATAATTTTATTTAAAGAAAGGATAATTTAAATCATAATTTGATGAAAATGTTAACTATCAGCTGTAGGGGAGCTTACAAAGTATACAAAGTATACACAAAATTCACATGAAAGAAAGATAGTTCTTGCAGCCTTGTTGCTCAATCTCTGGTGGATAGTTCTCATTGGCATTCTTACTAAATCTCATTGGCATTCTAACCACATCTCATTGGAATTCTAACCACATCTCATTGGCATTATTACCACATCTCATTAGTATTCTTAGCGCATCTCATTAGCATTATTACCACATCTCATTAGCTTTATTACCACATCTCATTAGCTTTCTTAGAACATATCATTAGCTCTATTACCACATCTAATTTGCATTCTTAGAGCATCTCATTAGCTCCATTACCACATCTCATTTGCATTCTTAGCGCATCTCATAAGCTTTTTAACCACATCTCATTTGCATTCTTAGCACATCTCATCAGCTTTATAACCACATCTCATTAGCTTTATTACCACATCTCATTAGCATTATTACAACATATCTTTAGCTTTATAACCACATCTCATTAGCATTATTATCACATCTCATTAGCTTTACTACCACATCTCATTAGCTTTATTACCACATCTCATTAGCTTTCTTAGCACATATCATTAGCTCTATTACCACATCTCATTTGCATTCTTTGCGCATCTCATCAGCTTCATAACCAAATCTCATTAGCTTTATTACCACATCTCATTAGCATTATTACCACATATCTTTAGCTTTATAACCACATCTCATTTGCATTCTTAGCGCATCTCATTAGCTCTATTACCACATCTCATTTGCATTCTTAGCACATATCATCAGCTTTATAGCCACATCTCATTTGCATTCTTAGCGCATCTCATCGGCTTTATTACCACATCTCATTAGCTTTATTACCACATCTCATTAGCATTATTACAACATATCTTTAGCTTTATAACCACATCTCATTGGCATTTTTACCACATTTCATTTGCATTCTTAGCGCATCTCATTAGTTGTATTAACACATCTCATTGGCATTCTAAGCGCATCTCATTAGCTTAATAACCACATCTCATTAGCTTTATTACCACATCTCATTAGATTTATTACCACATCTCATTAGCATTATTACAACATATCTTTAGCTTTATATCATTGGCATTTTTACCACATTTCATTTGCATTCTTAGCGCATCTCATTAGTTGTATTAACACATCTCATTGGCATTCTAAGCACATCTCAATGGCATTCTAAGCACATCTCATCAGCTTTATAGCCACATCTCATTTGCATTCTTAGCGCATCTCATCGGCTTTATTACCACATCTCATTAGCTTTATTACCACATCTCATTAGCATTATTACAACATATCTTTAGCTTTATAACCACATCTCATTGGCATTTTTACCACATTTCATTTGCATTCTTAGCGCATCTCATTAGTTGTATTAACACATCTCATTGGCATTCTAAGCGCATCTCATTAGCTTAATAACCACATCTCATTAGCTTTATTACCACATCTCATTAGATTTATTACCACATCTCATTAGCATTATTACAACATATCTTTAGCTTTATCTCATTGGCATTTTTACCACATTTCATTTGCATTCTTAGCGCATCTCATTAGTTGTATTAACACATCTCATTGGCATTCTAAGCACATCTCAATGGCATTCTAAGCACATCTCATCAGCTTTATAGCCACATCTCATTTGCATTCTTAGCGCATCTCATCGGCTTTATTACCACATCTCATTAGCTTTATTACCACATCTCATTAGATTTATTACAACATATCTTTAGCTTTATAACCACATCTCATTGGCATTTTTACCACATTTCATTTGCATTTTTAGCGCATCTCATTAGTTGTATTAACACATCTCATTGGCATTCTAAGCGCATCTCATCAGCTTTATAACCACATCTCATTAGCTTTTATTACCACATCTCATTAGCATTATTACAACATATCTTTAGCTTTATCTCATTGGCATTTTTACCACATTTCATTTGCATTCTTAGCGCATCTCATTACTTGTATTAACACATCTCATTGGCATTCTAAGCGCATCTCATTAGCTTAATAACCACATCTCATTAGCTTTATTACCACATCTCATTAGATTTATTACCACATCTCATTAGCATTATTACAACATATCTTTAGCTTTATCTCATTGGCATTTTTACCACATTTCATTTGCATTCTTAGCGCATCTCATTAGTTGTATTAACACATCTCATTGGCATTTTTACCACATCTCATTTACATTCTTCATTGATCACTGGACCAATTATTCTATTTATTTAGAGAATAAACCTTTAACAGATTTTAAAATTGCTTTTCTGAAAATCTTGAATAAGATAAAAGAGGATCTGAGGTATATTTCAATGAGACAGCATGCCAACAACACACTTAACAATATAATTAAGATGGCAAAAATTATATTCTGTGATAATAGGTGTCTAAAAAATTATTAAATGTTGTGGCCAAATAATAAGTATCTTTGATGATTTTTTTTCTCGTACCACAAAAGCTTAAGATTATAAAGGTCACTGTTTTTACTTCATATTTTTTATCCAATAAAAGTGTTTTTGGCATGGAAAATTCTATTACAAAGTTAATTAAGTTTCATTTGGCCAAGAGGAGGCTAATTTTGTATTTACAAACTAACAAATCTGAAAGCTGCTTTAAGCATTTACATTATTTTGATGGGTTTAGTATTTTTTTACCATTGGAGAGTTATGTCCCTTATTATTAGAAAAGATTTATTTTTTTAATTATAAATTTCACAATGTACCACTTTACAAAACTGAAAAGATTTATTTTGGAAGATTCAAAATTTAAAATCTGATATTGTTTCCTTTAAATAAAAAGGGCTTCTGCAACAATTATCTTTAACGTTTGTGCTGAAACTAAATTGGAAATTTGGATATAATTACTTTTTAATCTAAAACATGATAAAGGATGTTTTTTGTTTATTCAGACATCTACACTTTTAATCAGCAATACCTCAAACCAGTACAAACATTTCAACAGAAACTTTGGACAACATTAAAAGACACTGAAGGTCGGTGTTTTTTCAGGTGCCATTTATATGGCTTCCGCCAATAAAAACTGGCAGCCTTGCCAGGAGTACTACAAGTGGGGTTGAAACAGTCACATCTTTCCAGAATAGATAAATAGCTTGTAGTTACTGAATTATGACAGGCTAGACTGGCTGTTGTTATACAAATTATTAAGGGAGTTTTCCAATGCAAACATTTATTATGCCTCATTTATGGGCATTATGTTTTCTGGTCTGTGCCTCCGTTCGTTCGTCCTGCTTCAGGTAAAATTTTTTAGATGAGGTAGTTTTTGATGAAGTCCAATCAACTTTGTACACGTTTCCTATGATATCATCTTTCTAATTTTAATGCCAAATTAGAGTTTTTTCCTCCATATTCAAAAGTCCACTGAACTTAAAAAATGATAGTGCGGATGGGGCATCCGTGTACTATGGACACAATCTTATATGTCTTTACCAAATAGGAAGGGAGAAAGGGTTCAGGGGCGGAACCAGCAATCTTTAAAAAAAGGGGGATCCAACCAAGGAGAAAGTGCGGGTTTTAAATATATGTCCCCATTCAAATGCATTATCATTAAAAAAAAGGGGGGAGTTCCAACCCCAACCCCTGGATCGGCCACTGGGGTCACAAAAATTTTACAGACTTGGAAATAATTTTGAAATGTAATAGACCCATTATTTTAAAACAGACTTTCAGACTGGATTTGCATACCAAAAATAAAAATTGGTTTGTATTCCTACTCATATTCATATTGTTAACAAGAAGTTCTCTTTCTAAAAGAAGATATTAAAAACCTATCCCTCTACAAGACTAGTACCTTAAACCCTTATCTGAAAACTCACTCCATCAGTCTCTATTCTCTCTCCCCTATCCCCTCCCCTCTCATTTCTCTCCCTCTCTTGTCTTCCATCCTTCCAACCTATTTAATTAAGTACCAATTGTTAGTAATGGTTAGTGTTGATACTTTAAGAATAAGATGTTTTTTATATTAAGATACAACCTGTAGAGGGATGGATAATTTTGCATGGAGACATACTTTTCAATTAAATATTTTTAAACCAAATATAAAAATTGGTGTTTTCTGTTACTACTAGGAATTGAACAACAGAATGAACAAATAAACAAAAATAAAATGAATATGAATATTTTAAAAAGAATACTTTTCACTACCAATTATAACCTCCTCAATGGTCCTATGCTTGCCTGATGTGTTGGAGGTAAAGGGCTCTATCCCATGTATGGACAAACCAAAGACTTTAAAAGGGGTATTTGCTGCTTCTCCCTTAAGCAAGTAGTATTTAAAAGTAAGAGCAAAGTCTAGTTGACTCTGAGTCAGAATAATGTATCCCGGAAGGGTTGGAGATCTTTCTCAGACTAACATCCTTTACTTTGGGAAATTCCCAAAATTATACTGATAAACCTTGCATTACAAAATTGGTATCTTAAATGTTCTGTTCTGAAAGTTCCTTTAAAAATCTGTAAAATGGTTTAGGAATAGCTGATACATATATGTTCTACGTCTGATTTTTAAGGGCAATTTGATCTAAAATTTGAAAATTTGAAAAATTATTTCACCATTTTTTAACTTTATCTTTAACATCAGACATGAATTATGGTTTTATTAAAATTTAAAGGGAATATATCATTATTCCTTTTCATTTATAAATTTCCATATTATTTTATCTTGAAAATTCCAAATGAAGGACAAAAGGTATTAACATTATTTATCTTTATTTAAAATGTATTAACTAATCTTTTGACGTTTTTTTGTTTGTGTTGTTGGTTGCTGTTCACTTACATATATCAAAACAATCCTCAGAAATAAAAATGTATACTCTTAATTATATTTAATTCCAGTTAAAAGAATGTATCCATTCCGTATCATGATATAATTAAATCCAAAATTCCAGTTAAAAGAATGTATCCATTCCGTATCATGATATAATTAAATCCTCCAAATTCCAGTTAAAAGAATGTATCCATTCCGTATCATGATATAATTAAATCCAAAATTCAAGTTAAAAGAATGTATCCATTCCGTATCATGATATAATTAAATCCAAAATTCAAGTTAAAAGAATGTATCCATTCCGTATCATGGTAAAACAAGTGAAACTGTGAGCTACTGCCCACTGAGGATACCCCCAACATATACTTCAGTACGCAGGAAGTTGTCGAGTTGCGAAACCAAAAACGCCTCACACAGTATAGCTGACTTTTATCAGCCCTGAAACCAAATTTCAGAAATCCTTGTATTGAAGTTCCTGATAAAAAGGTAATTTCAACCTTAGCTATCATGTGTAAATGATACAAGTGTTTGGTTAACAGGAAGTTGTTGAGTGATGAATCTGAAAATGCATCGCACAGTTTAGCTGCATTTTATCAACACTGAACCAAATTTCAGAAATCCTTGTATTGTTGATGCTGACAGACTGAATGATGGACAGACAGACATAGGTAAAACAGTATACCCCCACTTTTTTAAAGGGTTTATTTTAATCCCCCAAATTCCAATTAAAAGAATGTATCCATTCTGTATCATGATATTATTAAATCCCCCAAATTCCAGTTAAAAGAATGTATCCATTCCGTATCATGATATAATTAAATCCCAAATTCAAGTTAAAAGAATGTATCCATTCCATATCATGATATAATTAAATCCCAAATTCAAGATAAAATAATGGACCCATTTCTGCATCACAATATAATTAAACCCCAAGCATTTTTTTTCTTTTTTTTTCTATTTTTCTTAAAACCATTAAAAACCATCACCCATGCATATTTTTTTTTTTTTTTTTTTCTATTTTTCTTAAAATCATTAAAAACCATCAACCATGCATATTTTTTTTTTTTTTACTATTTTTCTTAAAATCATTAAAAACCATCACCCATGCATATTTTTTTTTTTTTTTTTTTCTATTTTTCTTAAAATCATTAAAAACCATCACCCATGCATTTTTTTGTTTTTTTCTATTTTTCTTAAAACTATATACACATTTGACACTATCCACATTTTTATAAATAATTTTTCTGTTTCCTTCTGAAAATCTTTAACAAAAATATTGAAAAACAGTTTTGAAATGGTCATTCCCCTTTTTACACAAAAATTTGACAACTTAAATATGTTACATTTACAATAAAATTTACAAATTATTTAAAAACAACAAAAGTGTGAAAAGAGATATAGGTACCAAACTCACTTTTCTGAAACATGTGTATCCATTTCTTTGAGTTCAAAGTTCATTGTAAAGCCAATTCTGTCATCAATACAAACTGAACAACTAAATTTGGATTCCAATGGATATCAGATACCAGTAAATTTGGAGCATGCAGTGCACCTATGGATTTGAATTTGATTTTTTGGTGTTTTAACGCCACTTTTAAGCACTACTTTGGCTATTTCATGGCGGCCAGTTTGTATTGGTGGAGGAAGCCAGAGTGGCTGGAGAAAACCACTGACCTTCAATAGGAAAACTGACAACCCTAAGTCAATTAAGATTGGAGTCATGTGCACCCGCACGAGCAGGGTTTGAATTCACAACCTCAGTGTTGACTGGCTAGTGATTACAGTAGTAACAACTTAGACCACTTGGCCACCGAGGCTCCCATGTTCCTATGGATGACTTATTTCTATTGGTAAGACACATGGGATGTTACTGTGGATACCTTTATTACTTTGGAGAGGAACATGTGATGTTCCTATGGATACCTTCATTACTTTGGAGAGGAACATGTGATATTCCTATGGATACCTTCATTACTTTGGAGAGGAACATGTGATGTTCCAATGGATACCTTTATTACTTTGGAGAGGAACATGTGATGTTCCTATGGATACCTTTATTACTTTGGAGAGGAACATGTGATGTTCCTATGGATACCTTCATTACTTTGGAGCGGAACATTACTTTGGAGCGGAACATGTGATGTTCCTATGGATACCTTCATTACTTTGGACAGGAACATGTGATGTTCCAATGGATACCTTTATTACTTTGGAGAGGAACATGTGATGTTCCTATGGATACCTTCATTACTTTGGAGAGGAACATGTGATGTTCCTATGGATACCTTCATTACTTTGGAGAGGAACATGTGATGTTCCTATGGATACCTTTATTACTTTGGAGAGGAACATGTGATGTTCCTATGGATACCTTCATTACTTTGGAGAGGAACATGTGATGTTCCTATGGACACCTTTATTACTTGTTCCAATGGATACCTTTATTACTTTGGAGAGGAACATGTGATGTTCCTATGGATACCTTCAATACTTTGGAGAGGAACATGTGATGTTCCTATGGATACCTTTATTACTTTAGAGAGGAACATGTGATGTTCCTATGGATACCTTCATTACTTTGGAGAGGAACATGTGATGTTCCTATGGATACCTTTATTACTTTGGAGAGGAACATGTGACGTTCCTATGGATACCTTCATTACTTTGGAGAGGAACATGTGATGTTCCAATGGATACCTTTATTACTTTGGAGAGGAAAATGTGATGTTCCAATGGATACCTTTATTACTTTGGAGAGGAACATGTGATGTTCCAATGGATACCTTCATTACTTTGGAGAGGAACATGTGATGTTCCAATGGATACCTTTATTACTTTGGAGAGGAACATGTGATGTTCCAATGGATACCTTTATTACTATGGAGAGGAACATGTACCGTAATGTTCCTATGGGTATATTAATTTCTGGTAAAAATGGGACATGTTCCCATGGATACTCTAAATTCAGGGAACATCTAATTTACCAAATTTAAAACTTTAAAAAGAAGTTTACAAAAGTACGGAGGATCTTTTTATCACTTTATTTTAATTCTGTATCTTTAGGTTTCCGTCCCCCTTTTTTCTGTTAAAATTTGTTCTATATTTTTTTTAAGAGGGGAGGCTATTTCAATTAATCTAAATTTTAAATATTTGGCTTCCATTCTCTGTTTCACTTTAAAATTTTATCTAAACGAAGGAGATGTGTGAAACATATATTTAATTTGAAGGAAAATTTAACAGTTATTATAAGTTAATATGAAGGATTTGGTTATTCTGGGTTTTTTATAATTAGTCCTTTGTCTATGATTAATTGAAAATGACTTTAGGGATTATGTTATTGAGAAAGCAACTAAACAACACAAAAAACCTGGACCCCAGAGGTCAATATAGTCTCCAACAAAAACAAGTTTCTATACTATAGGTCAAGTACTTAATTGTATGTTTTTGTGTTTTTTTTACAACACAAAATTGTTTAAATAGAGTGAGATTTTATTTACTCAATTTTAATGAAAGGAACTCAGAAACACGCATAAATGTTTAAACCAAAGGTTTCTAATTAAATGTTCAATTGATATTTTAAAGTTTAAAAGGTACACTTTGGTTCTTGTTTGACAACTTTAAGAAAGACCACTTTAATGGTTAATTTGAACACTGGAATATCTTTATTAAAAACTGAAAGTTTAAATGGGAATATTTTTTCATTATCATTTTTATCCAAAAGTACTGGGGTATTTATGCTCCACAAACTTCAAAGCAACAATAAAATCATCACAACAATGTGAATACAACATTAACACATAACTTACTTCATTCAATGGACAGCAACTCTTTCCCCATTCCCTCTTTTATCTCCCCCAGTTCACCAGGCCGTGGATGTAACCTTCTCCCTCTTTTATCTCCCCAAATACACCAGGCCGTGGATGTAACCTTCTCCCTCTTTTATCTCCCCAAATACACCAGGCCCTGGGTTTCCCCTCTCCTTTTATCTCCCCACTTCACCAGAGTCCCTGGGTTTCCCCTCCCTTTTCTTTAAGCCCTTAAATCCCAGGCCAAGGTATTTCCCTTATTCCTCCCTACCTGCCCAAAATCCAAGTCCCAGGTCAATTTTAAATAGATGTTGCTATATTGGGCTAGGGGTTAATTAAATAGAACAATGAAAGAAAACATCAGCAAGCCAGCATAAGCTTTACATGTTAATTTATATATGCAATGCTAATTATCCTATGCAGGTATGCAGGTTTATGCAGATTGTGCGGTGTTAGATACATTGTTATACTTGACTTGCCAGTGTAAACTTCGGATATACTTTATATTTTTGTAAAAAAAGAAATTTTAACCCAGCAAGTTATGTAATAATGTTGTACTCAGACACTATAATAATGCAATATCATTCACATCAAGTTGTTGAAAGCCCAAATCTTTTACTGAATTAAAAACTTTAAACTTATTTAATTGCAAGAAAAAAGAATTTTTAATTATTTTGCTTTATTATTATTTTTAATAGATATTTAGTTAATTTAGTCGACTTTTTTCTTTATAGATATTTAGTAAATTTAGTTGAATTTTTCTTTATATTTAGTAAATTTTGTGGACTTTTTTCTTTATAGATATTTAGTAAATTTTGTGGACTTTTTTCTTTATAGATATTTAGTAAATTTTGTGGACTTTTTTCTTTATATTTAGTAAATTTTGTGGACTTTTTTCTTTATAGATATTTAGTAAATTTTGTGGACTTTTTTCTTTATATTTAGTAAATTTTGTGGACTTTTTTCTTTAAAGATATTTAGTAAATTTTGTGGACTTTTTTCTTTATAGATATTTAGTAAATTTTGTGGACTTTTTTCTTTATAGATATTTAGTAAATTTTGTGGACTTTTTCTTTATAGATATTTAGTAAATTTTGTGGACTTTTTTCTTTATAGATATTTAGTAAAATTTAGTCGACTTTTTTCTTTATAGATATTTAGTAAATTTTGTGGACTTTTTTCTTTATAGATATTTAGTAAAATGTAGTCGACTTTTTTCTTTATAGATATTTAGTAAATTTTGTCGACTTTTTTCTTTAAAGATATTTAGTAAATTTTGTGGACTTTTTTCTTTATAGATATTTAGTAAAATTTAGTCGACTTTTTTCTTTAAAGATATTTAGTAAATTTTGTGGACTTTTTTCTTTATAGATATTTAGTAAATTTTGTGGACTTTTTTCTTTAAAGATATTTAGTAAATTTTGTGGACTTTTTTCTTTATAGATATTTAGTAAATTTTGTGGACTTTTTTCTTTATAGATATTTAGTAAATTTTGTCGACTTTTTTCTTTATAGATATTTAGTAAAATTTAGTCGACTTTTTTCTTTAAAGATATTTAGTAAATTTTGTGGACTTTTTTCTTTATAGATATTTAGTAAATTTTGTGGACTTTTTTCTTTAAAGATATTTAGTAAATTTTGTGGACTTTTTTCTTTATAGATATTTAGTAAATTTTGTGGACTTTTTTCTTTATAGATATTTAGTAAATTTTGTGGACTTTTTTCTTTATAGATATTTAGTAAATTTTGTGGACTTTTTTCTTTATAGATATTTAGTAAAATTTAGTCGACTTTTTTCTTTATAGATATTTAGTAAATTTTGTCGACTTTTTTCTTTATAGATATTTAGTAAATTTTGTCGACTAATTTTGAACTATAAACACTCAACATATTGTATAGATGCCTATCTTTGTTGGACTATGTTGACCTAAAGACGCCTTGTTTTTGTTGTTAAGTACCCCTCATTGATGTATACCAAATATATTCTTTAATTTATCGTGGTCAAGGTTAAAATGAACAAATGCGAAATTTTTGGGATGTTTAATAGGAAATTAGTGATATTTTCTTTTTTTGTTTTACTTCTGATCTGCTACTTTTTATAAATGCTCTCAATGAATTATAAAACAGAAGTGGTAATTTTATCCTTTCATCCAGAAGTGAAAATTTCTGAAAAAAATTCCTGTATTTAAACTATGAAATTTATGTAGGGGACTTTAATGTTCATTTTCTTTCTAAAGGGTGGTGACAATTTAATGTTTTAAATGAGTCAAAGGAAATAGTTTGTATTTTTCATCAAAATTTCAAAAGCTAAATGGAATGTTGCACTGTTATGCTGGATTTTTATGCCCCATACATGGACAGACATTATGTTTTCTGGTCTTACCCAGTCGTCTGTTTGTCAGTCCGTTCTTTTGTTTGTCTGTTCGTTCGTCTGTCACACTTCAGGTTAAAAGTTACTCTGGTATTAATCATGCAACTTTTAAATTTTAAATTTTAACAGGATGTGGCTATGTATTTACTAAACGGTGGCTAATCTTTGGCAAGCGTTTTACTGCCGGTCAGAAGAAGACCAAGGGATGACCATATTTTTATACCCCAGTCAACCCTTGGGGAAGGGAGCTATTTTTGTGAAAATAGGTACACATATATTTAAAGCTGTTTAGCAGGAATATGCTTCTTACATGTGCTTGTTGCTTTTAAGCATTGAATTAATCATATATGTGATCCTGCTAACAGATATAATCATTCTGTAGAAGTAAACATTGACCTTGACCTGACACTGCATGTCTTTGACCTTACAAATAACCATTCTTACAAATAGTTTGATCTTAAATCTAGTAGACCTCTACCCTTTAAAGGAGTAATGAACATTCTATTCTTGTCAATGTTGACCTGAACTTTTAACCTCTAACCTATGACCAAACTTTAAAAGAAAATGTTGACCTGAAATGATTGGATATCTATACTGATTGACCTTGACCTGACTGATAATTATGGTGATCCATTTTGACAGTTGTCCAGCCTGAAAGTTTAACATGTGTTGGATAAAAAGAACAGTGGTTACAAAAAGACAGACACACTCTTTATAAATTTCCAAGTTAAGTAAATTAAACATTAAAAACTTTCATTTAAATTAAAACAAAATATTTTCATAAAACTTTAATGATTAAATAGCCAAAATTATTAAAACACTCATTTTGAAGTTTTGAAGAAATTGTGTTACTTAGCAAAGAATGAAAATCTTTCAAAAATAAACTGAATGACCATAAATCAAAACAAAAATTTCAAGTTTCAAAAATTAGCTTTTCCAAACATTTTTTTTTAAACTAAAACAAAAATTTATACTTTTCCAAACTTTTTTTTTAAACTAAAGCAAAAGTTTATACTTTTCCAATTTTTTTTTTAAAGAAAATATACAAAATGTATATGTATTTATCAAAAATTAACCAAAAAATAAGACAGCTGAGACAGTTTGGTATGAAGTAACAAGGCAGCCTAGCACTCTAGCCACCTGTCTCCACCCAGCAAACCTCCCAGCTGCCTCAGGGACAGGAGCAACCTCAACCACTGGAGCAGGGATCACCTCCCAGTCCAAAGGAACACCTACATCATTACCTATAACAACATACGGTGTGACTGGAGTGGCTGGAACCTCAACCTCTTCAGGACCATACCAGACAGTCTCTTCAGCGTGGTTGGTTGTTGCATCCTCATCCACTACCTCCTCGAACACAACAGTCTCCTCCTCTGTTGGCAGGAAAGACACAGTCTCCTCCAGGAACCAGTCGGCTGGGTCCTCCACTGTTGTGTCCATACCACACAGCACAGAGGCCTCCACAGACAGCTCCATGACCTCTTCCTCCTCCAGAGTTGACTCCAGAACCGAGAGCTCCTCGCCAGCTAACTCCACCTCGACCATATCATCCTCGTCAATGATAACTTCAGCAGCAATTTGAATAGCTGCTTCAGGAACCATGACGGAGAATAATCGTGCACGAGGTACGACTGCTTCGAAATGTTCAGGTTGATCATTTCTTGGCAGCTCAGGAGAGGCAACTGGGACAAGAACTGGTTCAGGCTCCAACCCTAAAAGACGACGAGAGCATCGTGGTGCCTCTACTCGTGGAGCCACATAGCCGTATGGCATACCAACTCGTCGGAGACGCCTGTTCATCTGGTTGTCCACGTAGGTCCTCACACTGAAATATAATAAATTGAATATAATACATATTCTGCTTTCCCACTTTTTTTTAACATAACATTCACATGTCAAACTATACAAACTTTGATTATGAATTTAAATCATTGAGATACTGTAAATTCAGAAATTATTACATCAATTTATAATTGTGATTTTTAAAGAAAGTACTAAATTATTCATTTTAAAAAAATATTAACAATTTCTAAATTTACAGTAACAAAGAAAATAAATAGAAATAATTCACTGTTTCAGCTATTATAGCCAAATAAGAAGCAAGTTAAGAACAGGTTTTTTTTCAAGTTTATATGCATGTTTTCTTAAGTGTGGACATTTACAAAACAGGCAAAAACAAGAATGTGTCCATAATACACAAGTGCCCCAATCGCACTATCATTTTCAATATTCAGTGGACCTTGAAATTGGGGTAAAAACTCTAATTCAGCATTAAAATTAAAAAGATCATATCATAAGGAACATGTGTACAAAGTTTCTAGTTGATAGTACTTCAACTTCATCAAAAACTACCTTGACCAAAAACTTGAACCTGAAGCGGGACAGACAGAGGAACGGATGAACAGATCAGAAAAAATAAATGGGGCATAAAAATAAGTTGAGAAATCGTCCGGGTTTCCACAACATTAATACAATTGAAAACAGAGCTTAGGGTTCAACATACTTAATATCAAAGTCAGAAAGGTCAATTTGATGTTTAAAGTTCTCTACTGTCAACATACGAGTTGTATTGTCTCCTATCTAATATTGACAAGTTTTCATTCAAGTTTGTTGAAAGTCTGAATTTGTGTTATTTGTGATGTCATGAAAACACTTATACATAAAGTTTTACGAAATTGACATATTTCATTAATCTGGTCATTGATTTAGCTATAATTATAAATCATTGAGTGTGATATGATATTTATCCACTCGAGACAGTTAAATTTTCAAATTTAAAATGCAAGGCTTGCCCGAGCATTTTTAATATTCAAAATTTAACTGTCAAGAGTGGATAAATATCGTATTACACCAGATTTGTTGGTGGAATCAGTTTCTCTAGGGATTTTTATGCTAAAATGAAGCAAACTTATTCCTTTTTCTCGATTTATCTGAAAAAGATGTGTTCTTTCTATACAAAGTCATCAGACATGGTCCCCTTTTTTTTTCTAGATTTATCTGAAAAAGATGTGTTCTTTCTATACAACGTCATCAGACATGGTCCCCTTTTTTAATGACGTCACAATAAGAGATTCAGAGGAAAGCAAGAAAATGTGATGTCATAATCTAAAATTGACCAATGAATGATCTGAGATCAAATGAACCACACGTTGATTAAATAAAAATAATCAACCAGTTTGGAAAACAATAAATTGGCTTAGAATTAGAGAAATATAAATATATATAATAATTGTGTGCTTCATAGTGATAATATATTGTAGTTTAAAATTTTAGTCGTTTTGAAATCTCATCAAACCTCATGCTTTCCCCCGTCTGTACCCAAAATGAAAATACCTCATATAAGTGATTTAGTTTTCAATTGTTTTAAGCTTTATAAGTAGTCGTAATAAATTAATTTGGTGTAAGCCTTTGAAAATATTACCATGAATGCTTTAGATTCCAGTTTAGAAGGCATGAAATTTTGTAAGTTTAATGGTAATTATTTGACCATCTAAAACTTGAAATTAAAGGATTAAACTGTCAAAAAATCAAGTGTTGTTTTTCAACAAAAAAATCAAGGGGAGATAATTGTATTTAAAAAAGGAGAAGGGGATATAAGGCACATATTTGGCCCAAAAATTACTGCAAATTTAAAAGTTGTCATACATATTCTAAACTTACTGAAAACTTGACTACGGTACAAGGAATTCAGAAAAACAAAATAAGTAAGACATTTAACAAGTTTCCATGGCAACGAATCATGACTTAATTTGCATGTTTTGTAAAATTTCGTGATTTTTCTTATTTTTCATCAAATTTCAAGTATATTTTAGATTGAAAAAATATGTGCACACCCAAGAAACAACTTTATATTTGGTGAGATTATGTCAATAGTTATAATAAAGCTTCTGTTAATTTTTTTTGTTATTTCTTGGCTGCAAACGATTTTTCCACAATGGAAATAAAGATAGAAAACTGCAATATTCTGTATTTTTCATTGTTTTTGTGAAAACAGTACATATTATGACGTAATTGTGACGACATCAGATAAAAATCTTTATGTTTTTCATTTATATTTCTTGACCCTATGCATTTCTAAACATTATGTGCCAATTTGAAATAGTTATCTAACATTTTATTTTCTTGGGCCAAAACCAGACCTTAATGCACCGCCCCCACTCCTTTACAGGACAAATTGAATTCTTCAAAAAAGTAAGGCATGTGACCCCCTTTCGTCTTTTTATTTGATATTTTTCTGTGCAATTTATAAAATAAAATAGTCTCATTGAATCATTACCAATTCTATTGTTTAATGTTTCCTCTTCTTCGCTGAGAACAACTAGGTACGCTTGCAGACAGTTGGGGCAAAAATGGAAATGATATTCAAGCCTGATACAGGTCTGAATTTAGATTGTAATTGAATATTTGACATATTATAGGTTTCTGAATAAATGTTGTCAAAGAAGTTGAAATTGGTTATATGAATTGAATTGATATTCAATTAAAGATTCCTTGCTGTTGTGCAATACACTGTTGCTCAATACTTAGTAAATCTGTTGTCAGACTCAACAAATAAAGTTAAATTTATTCTCAACATCATATTAGAAATTTATAACTAGAGGCTCTAAAGAGCCTGTGTCGCTCACCTTGGTCTATGTGCATATTAAACAAAGGACACAGATGGATTCATGACAAAATTGTGTTTTGGTGATGGTGATGTGTTTGTAGATCTTACTTTACTGAACATTCTTGCTGCTTACAATTATCTCTATCTATAATGAACTTGGCCCAGTACCCTTGCAGAAATAAATCCTGACAACTTTTATAATCAGGATATCTCAAGATTATCCTGGGATATCCTGAAAATATCCTGTTAGGCATTAATTAAGCCCTGTTTTAAGGAAAAAACTTAATGGGAGAATTCCAGGAAATGTCAGGACTTTCAAATCAAGCAGCTTAAAACTGGGGGAATTCTCAGGATATCTCGAGACTTTTAAAAATCATATTATATAAACCAGGATATATCAGGACTTTTCCATCAACATTCATCCTATTTTCAGGACTTTTACAAATTCTATCTGAATGAAAAAAAAACCCAATAAAGTCCTGGATGATTCCTGGTATTGGGACTTAAGAAAAAATATAATCTGTATTACAAATTCAACCAAATAAAAAAGAAAATCTTTGGGACTGAAATTAACTATTGTTTGTTAAATATATATATATATATATAAATACCGCTTCGATTCCTAACATCACTGAAGAGACATTAATTGTCGAAATCCGGATATGGTGTACAAAAACCTTTGCGCCTTTTGTTTGCGGTATATCATCTTTTCCGGAAGTTTATTGTTTTCTGTTTAGTATTAAATTTATAATTAAGATCCATTTATTACATAGGTGATCTGTTTATTTGGCAATCGCCAATGGCAGTCAGCAGGGTTTAAGAACATTTGTTGTTCGACCTGTTAGTCAAATGCGTTTTGTTAAAATATACTTTTTCACTTTTTTGGTCTTTTGGAAAATGTTGTTTGTGCTGTATTTAGACACCTCTAACAAGAAATTTGTTTTGCATGCACACGTATAAAAATTGCGGTTTTTATTCAACGCAATCATAGGTCTGAACGTTGTTTTCAATTTAGACTTGTTTATATATATATATATATATATATATATATATATATTTACATTCACATGAATACACAGTGTTCTAGTCAGGATTTGAAAAGGGAAGGGTGCTCTAGTCAGAAAAAGGACAATTTTATGTGTAAATGTCATTGAAAAAAGGGCAATTATTTAAGCCTCATGAAATATTAGCATATAACTCAGGCACTAAGGTAAAATCAAGTTTCAGTTAAAGAGGAGTAGTAAAATACAATACTTATGACACAATTTTTTATGTTTAACTATAAAAATCTCGGGTCATTAGAAGTAACCAATTACATATAAACACTGCAGCTGATTTCGTAACCTTAGTGGCTAATGAGTTACATGTGAGTTTAACAGTTGGTTCCATCATTTGTTATAATATTACTATGTTATCTAAATTGTGTTCATTTCTTTTAAAATTGAATTATTATTTGAATGCACTTGACAGATCAATTAATGGAGGTAAAGATGAAAAAAAAAAGTTTCAAAATATTTATATTTTAAGTGTTTTCAGGTGAAAATTAATTAAAAGTAATATTTTAATATGCATTTTCATTCAATTTGTTATACTATTATTTTTGTTTACGGAAAAAAAACATATATTAATGGAATATATTGTGAAAAGGTGATAAAAAAGGGGAAGTAACTTATTATTTTTGTCAAACATTTTTATTTAATGACATAAAGCAAAGATTATTGGTGTTAATTAACATTGTGTTTGACACCAAAGCTGTCAGGTGAAGCCATGCACTTAATGGGTCACTTAATTTGACATTTTACACAGCTAGCTGAACTTCCTTTTCATGGAAGATTTACGAATTTCAGTTTGACAGTATTTCAAAGTCAGAAAAATGCTGAGATTTTCGCGATATAAACGGCAGGGAACCAGAGAAACACCAACGGCTGTTTTGCCAGACAAGCTGGTCCGTTTCTGATTTTCTGCAAGATCACATAAGAGCGTTTCTATTAATTATCACGGCACTTAGAAAATTATCAGATCAATTATAGGCCATTGATCGACATTGCAAAACGTTGGTTTCTCAACTTATGTAAAATGTAAACCAGTCATGACCACGTGTTTTTTTGGTAATTGTACTGAACAGTCCGACCCTAGAAAATACCGTCCTAGATAATGCGGCCACTATAGTTCATCCGCATGCACCCTGTGCCGATTAAATTAAAAGTTGTTCT